TTCCCAGTTCTGGGGTGCTGGGAGCTGCTTGCCTACCCCCCCCCAGAGGTTTGCTGAGAAATAGCAACTGTTCATTCGGTCTTAGAGGCCAGCCACGTGGTAGGCCCTTTTGGAGTGTGTGTGTGTGTGGGGGGGTGGGGGGGAGTAATCCAAAGAGGAAACAGAAAAAGTACCTGTCCTCTTATTTAAAACCCATGGTAGAAGCTCCTGAGTGGTTAAGTCAGTGACAGTGAGAGATATAAGTCATTGTTCTGGGGAGCTGTTCACTCGAGAAGGTTCAGGTTCTGCAGGGGGACATTTCCCAAATCCTTGGATTCAGGTGGCAGATGCCGGAGGAGACGGCCACGGCCGCATCTGCAACTCATTTCAAGGCCCTGGTAGCTGGCCCGTGGGCACCTGGGGCCAGAGGGGGTGGGAGGGCACTGGAGGCAGGCAGGACGTCCAGTCCCCAGCCCTGCTCTGCGCTCCCTCTGTACCTCTGCCTCAGTGTCCCCATCTGCAAAGAGTGCAGAGGCCTCCTCCTCTCTGAGCTTTGCTCCAGACCAAGGTGGGGATTCTGGCTTGAATCCCCTTCCCTGTTTGAGCCTCAGCTTCCCCATCTATGAAATCGAAAGCCTCTCTACACTAAGGGCCTTTGAAGAGAGAATAGAAAACTGTTTTCAGTCAGCTCAACACAGAGTAAGTCCCTGTAGTTTTCAATCAGGGGGAGCCAAGGAACCTCTTCTAAATCCAGTGTCGCTGCCACCAGGTTGAATCTGTCCAAGTACGTGCCAAAGCTGGCCAGGTGATCCTCATATCAGCCTAAGGGCACAGCCAGTTCTGGCTGCAGCCCCTGGAACAGAGACAAGGAGCTTTCGGCTGGGCGAGGAGGGAGCCTTCATCTTGGAGCCTCTGTATCAGAGCCCGTTCTAATTGCCTATAGCTGTAATAATCAAAGAGGAAGCTCTTAAAATGGGGAATTATGTATCACCTTAGCTACAAAATAGCCATGGGCCTGGCGCCAAGGAAAACAGCTCTCGCCACCGGCCAGCACGGCAGCGCCTGCTGGGACACCTGTGGAGGGAGCCCGTTCCTACCCGCTGAGTCACGGGGTGGGCTGGGGGGTGATGGAGAATTAGTGGGCCTCACGGAGTGTCAGCTGAGACCAGGCTGGGCTGGCAGAGGGACAGCAGAAGCAGAGCCAGGAATTTGGGCTCGTGATGGTCACTGTCACAACTAGTTTTATGACCTTGGGAGTGTCACTTGGCCTCTCTGAGCTTTGCTGATTTCACCCTGAGTAGGACTGACCCCAAGGTCAGGTTGGACCTGATAATAATTATAGCAGTACTAACAACAGTAATACTAGCAGCTACTATTTAAGGAGTCCTTGCCACATGCCATGGACTGCTGTAACACTTTCTGTGCACCTCTCTTATTCAGTCCTCACAGCATCCCCGAGAGGTGAGTACTGTTACCC